GACCCCACCTTGATGTTTCGGGACCCCACTTTGGGTCCCGACCCCAACTTTGGGAAACACTGCTTCATACAACGCTGCATTTCTACAGCCTAACCCTGACCACAAACCCTAAAACTAACCTAAACTCAATTTACACCTTGGTCCTAAACCCAACCCCCAACCCACCAATGGTATTTAAACCAAATGGGGACTCAACTTTTGTCCCCAAATGTCACCAGAAACACCCACCCCCCCCCACACACACACACGGTAGTCAGTGATGAAACAAACATGGTGATGGGCATCGACACACTTCCAGAATAAAAACAACTTTCTCTTTCATCCTCGATGACCCTGATGCTCGCTGAGTTAATTGGACGGGTCGCAAAGGAGCAGGAGTTCACGCTCGTCCTGACTCCTCCTCCTCTCTTTCTCTTCCTCTTCCTCTTCCTCTTTCCTTGTCAAGGCCCGGTTTCTAGAAAGGTTTTCATTAGAGCTGCACAATCGTCACACTGCAGGTGTAAGAAGTAAATTAAATCGACTGTTATCTCAGGACTGAACCAGAAGTCGTTGCAGCTTTTATTTTGATGGTTTGCTTCTGGAAGCTAAAAGTTTAATTTTATTGGGAAACTTCTGGGACAAAAATAAGTTTTTCAGAGAAGCGTTGTTGATGAATTCTGGAGCTGTGTTGATGACGACAAGGATTTTGATAAAAACAAGGGAGATGAGTAAATTCGTAGAGAACTGGGCAACATTCGGTAAAATCCAGCATTAAAGTGTGACGGTTACAGGAGCTGAGCAGAGGCAGCGCGTTAAGCGGCAAAGTGCAATTCATGTTTGCAGATGATAGATTGAAATTATACTCAAATCCCAGCACAATAAAGGAAAGAAGAATTTCTTGATTAAAATGCAGTGTGAATGCTTAAAGCAGGGGTTCTCAAGCCATTTGGGTCTGGGGACCCCTTAAAAGGGTGAAAAAATTCCAGGGACCCCCCTCATAAACACCAAGCTGTTTTAAAAGATAAATTTATTGTCATTTCAACCCCTAAATGCCATGAGAATACATATTTTTATTATGTTTATTATGTTTGTTACATTAGTTGATCTTTCTTCATGCATTTAAAAAAATAAAAACCTAATTAACAGTTTAGTGAAAATTTTTGAGGACCCCTAAGATACCTCTCACGGACCCCTGGGGGGTCCTAGGACCCCAGTTTGAGAAACTCTGGCTTAAAGTACCTGTGACATGCATATTCTTCAAATACAAAAAGTCAAAGAAAACATCTTTATTTTGCAGAAAGGTGGAATAATACACACGATTTAACCCATTTTGTCCCATAACTGACATATTTTCTTTTGAACTTGGCTCAGCCAAAGTGAAACAGGAAGTGACATCAAAGGGGAACTCTTTAACAAAGAAAACTCTCGTCTTTGTTTGTTGAAACAATATTATTTGAACTCTGACTCTTCATCATCTCTCTCTGATAGAGACTCAAAATAATCTTAAACATCAGATTCTTCTCTACACTCTGGATTAGCTTTTGTAACAACGCTCTGTTTACATGCAGACATTCCCCTGTGACATCACTTCCTGTTACTTCACAGGCAAATATCTCAACAACCGTTCATCTCAACGACATGAAATGTCTTTTACAATATTTTATTAAATGTCCTCTTTCTAAAAATGCATTCATGTGCATTGCAAAAATTCGACATCACAGGCACTTTAATGTTGACAGATTTTCACTGAATTGCTAAAAAAGCTGAAACAAACCTTAAATAGTTTTAAAAAAGCAGCTGAAATCAGCACATATAAACAAACTGAGCACACATTTGCTGAATTAAAGCAGTAAGTGTAAAATTTAAAAAGCAGCTGAAACCAACATTGTCACAAAAGGTGAATTTAGCTGGAAAACGCTCACATTAGCTAAAAGTAGCTAAAACAAAATAGATAAAAATGAGCTGAAAACAGCTGAAAGAAGCAAAATGCTTAAAATAGCAGAACAAATAAGATTATTAGATTAAACTAAAAGTGTAAAAACATATTACACAGATGGAGCCATTTTATTTCCACACAAAGCATTCTGGGTAAATGATGACGTGGATAGGTCCTCGATGCGAGGCTGCTAGCGAGCTATATCCACC